AAGGTGTTGGCCAAGTACTCTGAGTCAGGCAGCTAAGCTTAGTTTTGCCAACGTTTGAAACAAAATAATTTGAGAATTCAGTTGGAAGAATGGTAAATCATTTTATTTAAAGGTTAACTCATTTGAGTTCTTATTTCTGGCAACCTTATCCAGCCTGAGAATTATATTAAGGGTCTTCTATGGTAGAGATAAATTCCTGCTTTCAGCATTTTCTAGGGCAGGACATTTCTTCCAGGATCTCGTTTACAGTTGTGGAGTTTGAGTATTTATATAGATCCAGAGATGATTTAAAAAAAACATGTATTTATTTAATTTTATTTATCATCATTATATTATTTTAATTTCCTACAGGGTGTTTGCACTCACCAGAGAGAGGCAGAGAGGTAGGGGAAAGTGAGGAAGCAAGCTTCTAGATCTGTAATTTAGACCATGGTTGGCTATGTGGGAGTCCATCGCCTCAACCATCATGTGGTCTGCTGGTCCCAAGAAATGACTTTTAAGAAAAGTTTTGGTATTACCAGAAGATAGGCATTAGCTCCACTCCTTTGACAGCTAGGTGACTTTTTAGTAGGTAGAACCTACAAAACAACATCTGACACCTCTTTGCAATCTGTATTCTTTGCATTTGGAATAGTTTTTTCAAAGAGTGTGTCCTGAAGAATTGGTACATTGTTAAAGCTATTTATTGGATGGGGCCGTCTGGTGGAGTGAGTGGTGGTTAAGGTGATTGAGGTGCTGGCCAATCGAAGTTCGAATCTCGTACCTGGAGGCTTGCTTTCTCACATCTGCCCCGTCCCTCATTCTTTCTCTAGTCAAGTTATAAATAAATTAATTAAATAATTCCTTAAAGAAACTATTTATTCGGACATGGCAAGCATTTTTTAAAACACCTGGCATAGAATAGAAAACCTTATATTAAGTCATTGGAAAATTCATGATGTATTTTTCTATATTTTTCTATGCAAAAATGCATCATGACTTTCCTGATGACCCAATAGTATATTGGCATATAGTAAAAGTAATATTTCAAGAAACTTGTGTGTATCTTTGTGCTTGTATGTGTTTATTATGATGTTATATTTCTTTTTAAAGAATTGTTTATTTAATTTTTACTACTACTACTACTACTACTACTACTGTTTTTAATGTGACCAGAGAGAGAGAGAGAGAGAGGGAAAGTGAGAAAGCAAGCCACCAGGTCTGGTACTCAAACCACGGCTGACCATGTGAAAGTCCCAGCACTTTAACCACTATGCCACCTGCCATCACCTTATGGTGTTATATTTCTTATTTGAGAAAGGTCAAAAGAGTTTGAATCTGACTCAACTAAGGAATGCACAGTTTCTTGAAGTTAATATATAGGCTAAGACCTTCAGTTACTGCTATTAACAGTTTGGAATTGTGGGCTTAGCATGTTTTATAAGATATGGTGACAATTTCTAATCGAAGAGAAAGTTTAAAGATGGTTTATTTATGTTTTCCTTAATACTCTTTGCACTTTATCACAATGTAAATGTTACCACCTCTAAGCTAGATACCTGGGTTACTCGATTTTTGACTCTCTGAATATATAGCCTCTGGCTTTTATTGAAGGACATTATAAGAAGGAGCAATTGGGCCAGTCCATGGCATGGTAGTTAGGGTGGCTTGATTATATGTGACTGGCTGCGAAGTTTGAGTCCTGGACCCTGTGATTTGAGTAACATGCTGGGCATATATGTGTGCATGCCCAAAAGCCTGAAAGGAAGAAGAAAATTAAGAGAAAGGATTGCAGCCTGACCATTTCCCATGGGAGTACTTTCTTACTGCTCCCCTAGCTCCTGTGAGTGCATGCCTCTTCTGGCAATTTTTTTTTTTGAAAGAGCAATTCTGTGGCTGTTTCTACATTGCTTCTAAAATTACTTTAAAGGACAATGTCTTTTAATATTTTCAGGATCTCCTAATTAACTGATATCTTTTTTCTTTTTCTTTTTTAAAAAAGAGTTATCTGCGCCGGCAGGTAGCGTGGTGCTTAAGGGTGCTGGATTCCCACATGGCAGACCACTTTCCCTTTCTCTCTCTGTCTCTGGTCAGATTAAAAAATAATAATAACAAATGGAATTAAATAAGTAAATAATTAAAAAATGAATTATTTAATTTTTATTTATTACTATTAAAAATTTTTTGCGGGACCAGCAGTTAGCATAATGGCTATGTCATTGAACTCCCATGTAGTCGACTGTGGTTCGAGTCCCGGACCTGGTGGCTTAAACTCACCCTGTGCGCATGTGCATGCAGGCCCAGATCCTGAGAGGAGAATGGAGGAGAAGGAATTGTGGCGTGGCCATCCCCCCTGGGGGGTGATTTCTCACATTCTCTCTCTCTGTCTCTCTCTCTCTTTCTGGTGAGTGCACGCGCCATATAGCAAAAACCTCTCCAAAAATAAAAAAATTATTTTGCTATAGGGCACATGCATTCAGCAGAGAGAAACAGAGAGAGGGAAAGTGAGAAAACAAAACTCCAGGTCTAGGCCTCAAACTGTGGTTAGCTAAGTGGAAGTCTAGCACCTCAACCACCAAGCCATCTGCTGGCCCCTCTTTTTTCTTAATACTTAACTACTTCAAAAAAAATTATTTTCTTATTTTTATTTATTCATTCATTTTAATTTGATCAGAGTGAGACACACAGGGAAAGTGAGAAAGCAAGCCACCAGGTTCGGGACTTGAACTGTGGTCAGTCATGTGGGAATGTCCAGAACCTTAACCACCATGCCACCTGCTAGCCCCAATATTCACTATTTAAAAAAAAAAAATTCTACATTTCTTCTCTGTCAGGGAGCTCTGAGACAAACTTTGTGTTCAATTGCCTAACTTTTTACTTTTCCTTGCTTTTGTCATATAGTCATCTCTTTCCTTTTCTTCTGTTTACCCTTTTATTCAGAATATGTCATTCATATATGTTTACACTATGACACACAACACACACAAACACATACACACACACACTTTATCGGAGATATTTAGGGATGAACTCAGTTAACAACTGCACAGCTGTGTTGGCCACTGGGTTTAAATTTGTGACTTACTTATCTTTGATTTTTTTTCGAGAGAGATTTTTGTTATAGAGTGTGTGCACTGCTGGAGAGACAAAAGAGAGAGAAAATGAGCAATCACCCCACAGGGGGAATGACCACTCTACAATTCTCTCTCCTCCATTCTTGTCTAGGGATTTTGGGCAAGCATGTACACGCCTGGTTTTAAGCCTCCGTGCCCAGGATTTGAACTGCGGTTCGGTTGTGGGAGTCCAACTATGGAACCGCTTACGCTATCTGCTGGCCCCAATTATCTTTGATCTTTATCATTTAGTGTTGGGGTTAGCAAATATATTTGATGAAGGTTGAGATAGTATGTTATAAACTTTGCAAGCCATATATATATATTTTTTTTTTTTTGAGAGATTTTTTGCTGTAGCGCGCATGCACTCGCCAGAAAGACAGAGAGAAACAGAGAGACAGAAAGCGAGAAATCACTCCTCGGGGGGGTGGCCCTCTCGGGATCCTGGGCACAAACACACACGCGATCGGCATGAGTTTAAGCCACCGGGTCTGGGACTCGAATCACAGTCAACTACATGGGAGTCCAGCGACATAGCCATTACGCAAACTGCTGGTCCCAAGCCGTATGTTTTCTATCATAGCTATTCTACTCTTCTGATGTAACGTGAAACCAGCCATTGATGTTTAATAAACTAATGAATGTGGCTGTGTTCCAATAAAACTTTACCTTTACAACCAGATGACACATGTTTTTTTTTTTTTTTGTCTGCTCCTGGTCACATACAATGTCTGGTTTGTAATGGGCATTTCCATGTTTGCTGAACTGTACAAAATCACACAGTATTTTCCTCAGGCTTTATCAAATTCAAAGTCATTTGACTTTGGAATAAGAAGCTATCTTGGAATTTCTGATCTAGCAGCCAGTCTTTTATAGTGCATAAATCCTTGTGAATCTGCTGAAAAATTGTAGACCCAGATTTGCACATTAGAACTTTCATAAAGCTTTAGGGTATTTACATACTTGAAGTTCATCCATGGGCCCCAATTTCAGCCTCTCATCCCACCCACATTTTGGTTTCAAGTGCCTACTCTGATATATTCCTACAGATAAGGGGCACTACTGTACATGTATAACTCTGTACCCAGTGTACATTTTTATGTAAAAATTGAATTTCTATTGACAAAGATTTGTTCAAAAATAAAATCTTGACAAATTTCAAGAATCACTTTCATTTAATGTTATATCAGAAACAAATTTCTATGGCATTAATATTTTTTGTAGTGTTACTGTAATCACTGACTTGTATTCCATTGTATAACAAACAACTCTATATTTTATTTAGTCCTTTTTTTGTTTGATATTTAGGTTATTGATAATTTTCAATTTTGTAGACTCATTGAACAAACATACTGATAGGTAAATCTTTGCATCTCTATTTACTTAGGAGAAATCCTTATCCATTTATAGACTCAAGATTTATGACTAAGTTAACTCTGTGAAAAGTTTGTTACAAATTTTCTCCAAGCACTTTTTTTTGTTAAATGCTGTTTATTAAAAGTATACTTTTTTTGCTATTTAGGATTACTGTTTCTGTCATTTTCTTTTCATCACTTTGCTGCGTAGGAAAACTACCTTTTATATCCTGTTAACTGCTCAGTGTTTAGCTTTTTTCATTTGCTTCCTTTTGGATTTTCTACATAAAAATTCTGACCTCTTTGTGAAATGATTTCATGTGCTTTTATCATTTTTTTAAAGTTGAAAACAAACCTTTGTTTTTTTTTTTCCTTTCTTGATTTCTTATTTTCAATCCATCATTGTTCAAGTCCATGCATGTTATCATGTACATCATTCTCACCAGAGAATTTTACATTCTTGTGTCTGTTAAGTGTTTCTTTCCTGAGCCCCTTCCACCCTCCCAGAACTATCCATCCCTCTCACTTACTGTCTCTGGTATCTACACTTGTTGAAAGCATGGAATGCTTCACAAATTTGTGTGTCATCCTTGCACAGGGACTATGCTTATCTCCTCTGTATTGTTCAGTTTTGGTGTTTGTGCTTCTAAAGTGAGCATCCTTTTTTACCAGTTGCTATTCTTATTTTTTTTAAACTCCTTTTTACCCCTTATTTAGATGACTAGAACTTCTGTGACCACATTAAATAATAATACTGATAGTGTCTTCAACTTCACAGCCGGTTTTCTTAGCTCTGGTGGGAAATGCCCTAAATTATTATCTGGTTTTCAAACCTGATGAGTGCTTTTTCATTTATGTTTTATTTTAACTTTTTTTTTTTTTTTTTTTGAGAGATTTTCTTTATAGGGTGCGTGTGCTCACCAGACAGACAGAGGCATAGAGACAGAAAGTGAGAAATCGCCCCCCCAGGGGGGATGGTCACACCGCAATCCCTTCTCCTCCATTCTCCTCTCAGGATCTTGGGCACGCACGCACATGCGCCCGGTGTGAGTTTTAAGCCACCGAGTCCGGGACACGAACCGCGGTTGACTATGTGCGAGTCCAGCGACATAGCCATTACGCTAACTGCTGGTTCCCTCATTTTAACTTTTTTACAGCACTGACAATAAAGATTTTTAATTCTTGGCCTTCTATAAAAGATTTTATTCTGAAACATTTTTTAGCCTTCCAAAAAAGGAAAGAGCATTATAAAATGTAACTTTTTTCCCCCTTTATCAATTTGAACTTAAGTGGCCCATATGATGATGTGTAACCCTCACATAAATTTTGCACTAAAAAGCTGACTAAGATGCTTTTAGGTATGGCAACCAAATCATCAACTATGGAATTTCTAATTTGGAGCCACAGGTTTCCCCTAATCAGGTTGAATCAATTGCAGATAGTGTATGTAGCTCTTTAACCAAAATTATTTGATACATGGTTTTTAATTTAAAAATATCAGGAAAATAAATAAGATATAGTCTTTTCCCTCAAGGATTTTATAGTTTAGCAGAGAAGATAAATATCCATATACATAAACAATGACAGTAGTACCATAAACCCAAGGAAAGTGGTAGAGATAATTCTCTTTAATGTGTAGAGTTTGTGGACATTGGAGAAGAATGTATGGGAGGAGGGGACAGTTATATTGGGCCTGAGCAAAAAGAGAAAATGGACAAAAAGTATACTAAACAGAAAGAAAATTTGTAGTATTTTTATCTTTTCCTGGGGCTATAGGTGTATGTGTTTGTAGCAGTGGGGTTTGTGGGTGGGAGAGAGGTTGATAATAAAAATTTCTGGGAAGATTAACTAGTGTCCTATTTCAGAGTCATTTAAAATTGTGTCATAGGTTCTCATGCCTAGAGTGATCTTCCATTTTTAGATGCTTTTGTAGAAGACCTAGATTGTTATTTGAACAGATGTGCTCCTATGGAGTCTCTAAATATGGTGTGATGAGAGCTACTAGATCTTTTTGACATTCTCTTATAGCTTGTTCATATTATGAGGGGTTATAGAGATAGGATATAATTTAGTTCACAAATAAGTCTTATTATTTACTCTGGCATTCACTGTATTATAATAAATTGCCAAAGGGCATTTGCACTTGTCAGAGATAGAAGAGAGGAAGATAAATATCCATATACATAAACAATGACAGTAGTACCATAAACCCAAGGAAAGTGGTAGAGATAATTCTCTTTAATGTGTAGAGTTTGTGGACATTGGAGAAGAATGTATGGGAGGAGGGGACAGTTATATTGGGCCTGAGCAAAAAGAGAAAATGGACAAAAAGTATACTAAACAGAAAGAAAATTTGTAGTATTTTTATCTTTTCCTGGGGCTATAGGTGTATGTGTTTGTAGCAGTGGGGTTTGTGGGTGGGAGAGAGGTTGATAATAAAAATTTCTGGGAAGATTAACTAGTGTCCTATTTCAGAGTCATTTAAAATTGTGTCATAGGTTCTCATGCCTAGAGTGATCTTCCATTTTTAGATGCTTTTGTAGAAGACCTAGATTGTTATTTGAACAGATGTGCTCCTATGGAGTCTCTAAATATGGTGTGATGAGAGCTACTAGATCTTTTTGACATTCTCTTATAGCTTGTTCATATTATGAGGGGTTATAGAGATAGGATATAATTTAGTTCACAAATAAGTCTTATTATTTACTCTGGCATTCACTGTATTATAATAAATTGCCAAAGGGCATTTGCACTTGTCAGAGATAGAAGAGAGAGAGAAAGCTCCCCCATCCCTACACCCATGCTCAATGCCTTTCCATTTCTTTATCTCATCAGGATTTTGAGCATGCACACACATATACCTTGTGTGTTTTTTAATCTTCTGGGTCTGGAATTCAAACCATGATTGACCATGTGGTCTAGCTCTGTACACAAAGCACTTAACCACTGGGCTATGGGGCTAGCCCTTTATTGCATTTTAAATAAGGAAACAGAAATAGTCTTCCACAGGTTTGTTTTTAAATTTTATTTATTCATTTATTTTAATTTGACCAGAGAGAGACAGAGAGAGAGAGAAAGTGAGAAAACAAGCCACCAAGTCCAGGACTTGAACTGTGGTCAGTCATATTGGGAGTATCCAACTCCTTAACCACTACACCTGCTGGTCCCATCTTCCACAGGTTTTAAAAGATATTTGATTCTTTTCATTTGATGAAGAGTGAAATAATTATCTCAATATGTGTATCAGTTTTATAATGAGAAACTGAGGGAAAACCTGTTAATAGATGAAAAATCTTTTCAGTAGTATTCTGTCAGTTAAAATACTTACTATGTTTCTTTTACTTTGCATTGCATATTTTCTCCAGCGCTATTTTTTTTTTATCTTGTTTGAAGATAATAAAAACTTATGAACTTGGTGGTTTTTATGAGATCTCTATTGATGACAGATTTTCCAGAAATAGGAAAACCAATATTAGTCATGCTTACTTGACTTTTTAGAAACATACTCATTTTTTATTTTTAACATCTGTGTTGAGTAATAACAACATAAGATAATGTACATTATGAGTTTGAAAATTTTGATATGTAAAATTTCTTTTGGAAGTCCAACCCATTAAGAATTATTTTTGCATCAGTTCTTATAAAAATACTTCTTAATTTAAAATCTATTAATAATTAGTGTGTTAATTTTACAGCATGTAACTGCCACTCTAAAAGCTGCTAATAGTTTCCATATAGGAAAAAACCTTGAACCTAAGTTGTATTGCATTTCTTTCCTATTTGCATCCAGTGGGAATGAATGAAGGAGTTGGTTTTTGCAAACATGTTATGGTTGAATAAATTTAAATGAGCTTTCTCCCAGCAGACTTTCATATAGGTGTTAATGTCAGTTGCTGACAGAAGTTGATTCTGTTTTGTCCAGTAAGCTTTTAATTTGACCAGAGAGAGACAGAGAGAGAGAGAAAGTGAGAAAACAAGCCACCAAGTCCAGGACTTGAACTGTGGTCAGTCATATTGGGAGTATCCAACTCCTTAACCACTACACCTGCTGGTCCCATCTTCCACAGGTTTTAAAAGATATTTGATTCTTTTCATTTGATGAAGAGTGAAATAATTATCTCAATATGTGTATCAGTTTTATAATGAGAAACTGAGGGAAAACCTGTTAATAGATGAAAAATCTTTTCAGTAGTATTCTGTCAGTTAAAATACTTACTATGTTTCTTTTACTTTGCATTGCATATTTTCTCCAGCGCTATTTTTTTTTTATCTTGTTTGAAGATAATAAAAACTTATGAACTTGGTGGTTTTTATGAGATCTCTATTGATGACAGATTTTCCAGAAATAGGAAAACCAATATTAGTCATGCTTACTTGACTTTTTAGAAACATACTCATTTTTTATTTTTAACATCTGTGTTGAGTAATAACAACATAAGATAATGTACATTATGAGTTTGAAAATTTTGATATGTAAAATTTCTTTTGGAAGTCCAACCCATTAAGAATTATTTTTGCATCAGTTCTTATAAAAATACTTCTTAATTTAAAATCTATTAATAATTAGTGTGTTAATTTTACAGCATGTAACTGCCACTCTAAAAGCTGCTAATAGTTTCCATATAGGAAAAAACCTTGAACCTAAGTTGTATTGCATTTCTTTCCTATTTGCATCCAGTGGGAATGAATGAAGGAGTTGGTTTTTGCAAACATGTTATGGTTGAATAAATTTAAATGAGCTTTCTCCCAGCAGACTTTCATATAGGTGTTAATGTCAGTTGCTGACAGAAGTTGATTCTGTTTTGTCCAGTAAGCTGTGGTTTAAAAACTACAAGCATATGGTTATTACTTAAAATAGCTAAAATCTTAATTACCTTTAAAATTTTTTTTATAGTGGAAAATACATTTGAGTAGTGTAAAATTGTATATTTTTCCCTTGTTTTTAAATGCTGTTATATTTAATTAGTATTTATATTTTCTATTAAATTCTTTATTAATAGTGGTATACACACTTATATGAGAAATTAGTGAAATTATGAGGTATTCCACAGTAGGATGAAATTAAAAAGAAAATTTGTGGAGATTCCAAGTGAGCTATGAAGAGAAAGAATGTTCAGTAATTACTTTCATTGTATTGAATTAGTTTTAAAAACCATTATTACTGTTTACCTTTTTTTCCCTGTGTTCACTTTCTTTTATCCTAATGCTTTCCCTCCATACTCACTCTTTCTTTTTCTTTCTTTCTTTCTTTCTTTCTTTCTTTCTTTCTTTTTTTTTTTTTTTTTTTTTTTTTTTTTTTTTTTTTTTTTTTTTTTTTTTTTTTTTTTTTGCCGGAGGGTATGTGTACTCACCAGAGACAAAGAGAAAACCTGTGCCAGTACCTGGGCATCCTCCTGATAGATGTGGTCATGTTACACTCCTTTTTTTCATCCATTTCTTCATCCCAGAAGAATTCGGGGCATGCATGCACACATACCTAATGTATTTATCGAGTTGCTAGGGCCAGGATTCAAATAGCTGTTAGCTTCATGGGATCTGGCTCCCTAGAAACAGCTTAACCACTGTACTACCAGGCCAATCCTGTTCTTTTTCATTGTGCTATCCTTATCTTTCTTTACTTTCTTTTCAATTTGATTTTTCTTTTAATATTATATACGAA